ACTGAAGGAGGGTGCGGAAATTAACCGTTCGCTGTCGACCCTTGGTCGTGTCATTGCCGCTCTCGCTGACGTGGCGGCTGGCAAAAAGAAGAACGCATCAATGGTTCCGTATCGTGATTCTATATTGACATGGTTGTTGAAGGACTCGTTGGGAGGTAACTCCATGACAGCAATGATTGCTGCGATTTCACCCGCCGACATCAACTTCGAGGAGACTCTCAGTACTCTCCGTTATGCAGACTCGGCGAAGCGAATCAAGAACCATGCCGTTGTGAACGAAGACCCCAACGCACGAATGATCAGAGAGTTAAAGGAGGAGTTGGCCCAACTCCGGTCGAAACTTGGGGGTGGTGCCGCAGGTCCTGGAGCAGGCGGCGCTGCTGGCGCTATACCAGCAGAAGAATATTACCCTCCAGATACTCCTCTAGAGAAGCAACTCGTCTCCATACAACAGCCGGATGGTTCAGTTACGAAAGTTAGCAAGGCAGAAATTGTCGAACAGTTGAACCAGAGCGAGAAGCTTTACAAGGATCTGAATCAAACTTGGGAGGAGAAGCTGGCGAAGACTGAAGAGATTCACAAAGAGCGAGAGTCTGCTCTGGAGGAACTTGGTATCAGCATCGAGAAAGGTTTCATTGGATTGAGCACGCCGAAGAAGATGCCACATTTGGTCAATCTGAGCGACGACCCGCTGCTCGCCGAGTGTCTCGTTTACAACATCAAACCGGGAACCACCATAGTCGGAAACATGGACCAGGGCAGCCATGTCGAAATAAGATTGAACGGCTCGAAAATCTTGGACGATCACTGTAGGTTTGAGAACGTGGACAATGTTGTTACAATTATTCCCACCGAAGGCGCAGCAGTCATGGTGAATGGATTGCGGATCGATAAACCGAAGCGGCTCAAGAGTGGATTCCGCATTATCCTGGGTGATTTTCATATCTTCCGTTTCAACCATCCCCAGGAAGCGCGTGCTGAACGAGTTGAACAGAGCTTGCTGCGTCATTCCGTTACTACAAGTCAACTGGGCTCGCCGGCACCGAACAAAACCCATGATCGAACCCTGAGTAAAACAGGCTCGGAGGTGGACGGCGATTCGAGCAGAGCGGATTCTCCGATGCCCTCCCAGCGTGGTAGGGAATCCGATTGGTTTTATGCTCGCCGTGAAGCTGTCAGTGCGGTGCTGGGGCCGGATCAAATCTCCCATATGCCTGACGATGAGCTGGACGCCTTGTTCGAGGATGTACAGAAAGTGCGGGCTACTCGTCGTGGACTAATGGAGAACGAGGAAGACTCCGATTCGCTCAGTTCGTTCCCTGTGCGGGATAAGTACATGTCCAATGGAACAATCGATAATTTCTCGTTGGACACTGCCATCACGATGCCGGGAACTCCGCATCCGAACGACGAAAATGACGGCCAGAATGGGGGCGAGGCTACTCTGCAATCGGTGCGTCAGGATATGCAGCGCCAGTTGGACCGACAGAAAGAAGAGTATCAGGACAAGCTGAGGAATGCTGAGGCCTCTTCCACCCAGGGAGTCGATGACCTACGCTCCGAAAAGGCTCGAATGGAGGAAGCCCTGCGAACTGCAAAGGAAGAATTCGAAGAACAACTGAAAAAGCAGAAGGAAGCTTTTGAGTCTCACATGAAGGACCTAGGCCAACCGGTACCCAGAATCTATGAGAATGGTTTTGCCAAGTTGGACGACAGGGAGCTTGAGGTCGCCAGGACAGTCTTCCGCCACTGGTCTCAGCAAAACTACGTTCGCATGGCCGAGAAAGTGCTCCAGCATGCGTCTTTGTTGAAGGAGGCTCAAGTGATGAGCCACATAATGGACAAGAATGTGGTATTCCAGTTTGCAATCATTGACCACGGGCATAACATGGCCTCGTCCTACGACCTTGTACTGAATGGCATTTCCGGAGACGAGGACGTTGTTCTAGATGAAGCCAAGAAACCATGTGTCGCAGTTCGTGTGATTGACTTCAAGCAATGTGTCATCCACCTATGGTCTATCGAGAAGCTCCAACGCCGTGTTCAGGCTATGCGACAATTGCACCAGTATATCGACCGGCCAGACTACATCCAACATTTCAAGCTTGAAAACCCCTTCTCGGAGCCATGTTCACCTCATTACTCGCTGGTTGGTGACGCTGATATCCCTCTCACGGCGGTCTTTGAGACCCGAGTCCAAGACGTTTCAGTCGAAGTCACCTCGCCATATACACAAAATGTCATAGGCATCATTAGGCTGTCCTTGGAACCCTCTTCGGCTCAGGCGCCTTCGTCTACTCTCAAGTTCAACGTCGTGATGCGTGATATGATTGGGTTCGCTGAATGGGAAGGGTCGGATGTCCACGCGCAATTATTTGTACCCGGAATTTCTGACGAAGGGGGAGCTACGACCACTCAAATGATCACCGGCTTTGATGAAACACCTGTGCGGTTCGAGAGCGTCCATAGTATGAGTTTACCGCTGTCAAGTCCACGGACTGCCGCGCTGAAAATTTGTGTCTACGCTAAGGTGACACAAATGCATTTGGACAAGCTCCTTAGTTGGGATGACATGCGCGACTCTGCCGAGCCGGCTCCCAAGAAGCGGAAAACACCGCGTATTGCAGAGACCGAATTTTATTCTGAAGAGAGACATGATGTTTTCGCCCGGGCGCAGGTACTCGAATTAGCGGAGTCCGGTGAATATCTCCCCGTTGAGGTTGTCCAGAGCAACAGCCTCGATGCAGGTACTTACCAGCTCCATCAGGGATTGCAGCGACGGATCCTGGTGAACCTAACTTACAGCTCGACTGAAAGCCTGCCGTGGGATAATATCACCAATATCCGCGTGGGCTCAGTGCGATTGCTAGATCCCTGGGGCAAGATCCCTGACCAGGACTTGCAGACACCGGACGTTGCGCTGAAGTTCGTCCAGGAGCCGAACGTGAAGGAAAACGCGGATGGGACATCAAATATCACCATCATAGGTCAATGGGACTCCAGCTTACACGGGTCTCTCTTGCTTGATCGAGTCACTGCAGACAAGTATCGTGTCCAAGTGACTCTCCGATGGGATTTGTTGTCTTCCCGTCTGCAGGATCCCGTTCCTTTTGAGATAGACCTGACCCTCCAGATTCAAGGCCGAACATACGTTCGGCCTCAATCCATGTTCAAACAATTCTTCAATTCAACGCGTATTGTGCACTCCACAGTTCGCATGTTCTCCCTAGTCGTCCGCCCGGTGTCCGCCAAACGCGCGGCTGATCTCTGGCGGATGAATACGCAAAACGACTATGTGAAGGGCGAAGAGCTCCTGGTCACCTGGGCTCCGCGCAAAGTCTCGCTTGTCCGGGATTATATAGCCGCCCGCAAACGAAGGCGACGTGTCGCGGAGTTGAATGCAGCTAAAGGGGCTTTGAGTGCCAATAGCCTTGTTGCATCACCTCCACGCAGCGGACGGTCAACTCCCCTGCGTAGCCAGGAGCGTGCCGACCGCAGGGCTAAATTGCTTCAGAAATACGTCGACCTCTGGGGAAAGAAGACCGATCCAATCGAGGCAATTCTGGTCCGAAGCAACACCGAGCCCCCTGCAGGAGGGGCGGCTTTTGCCTCGCGGGCGAAGCAGTCATCTTCAAGCGATGATGGAAGTTCAGTTCAGGACGAGGCATCATTGAAGCCGCGATTTGTTGCCAGCGTCCAAGCTCTTCCGAAGAACGATTCGTCTCTGAAGTCGGGCTATCTTTTGACTCCTGATGATACCAACAGCCACTGGGTGCGGCGTTTTGTTGAGCTTCGTCGTCCATATCTCCATATCTATTCTGTTCCCGACGGTGATGAGATCAACGCTATCAACCTGCGCAATTCCCGAGTTGACCATGCACCCGACTTCGCACGGCTCCTCGATGGCCCAGGAGCAGCCGGATCTGACCGGGGAACGTCTCCACGGGGTCGTCCGAATGTCTTTGCAGTGTACGGGGCACAGAATACGTTCCTGTTTGCGGCCCGAACCGAGGCCCAGAAAGTGGAATGGATCCTGAAGATCGATGAAAGCTATTTCAGCAGCCCCGGTGCCAGAGCAATGGCAAACCACAATGCATAACTTCATGTGACCCAGCAAGCGCTGACTTTTTCACCTGTCGAACAGGTCTCATGGAGATCCGTGATATGACGCTACCCCAACCAACCAACCCTTTGTTTCCGCCCTTGCATATAGTACCCTCTCGGTGGCTGTTAGCATTTGATTTTTAACCATACACTTTAGATTCTACGTTTATTTCTTTTTATCGCGTTTCCCATTGGCAGGCCTGGTGTTCCTTCGTTGAGCCATGACATACATCATTCATCCCTTTCCACTCCACACCCGTTCTTGATTGATTTTGAGATACCCCTGAATAAATTTGCCTCTTACGGCCTCTATCAACTCCCATGTACATACTTTTTCTTCTGGAAAAACTTTTCAACTATAGATACAGATACACACACCAGCCTGCATGCATGCTATGATACAAGAAAGGGAGGACCCGGCGTTGTCCGCAGGCGGGCAGTAGGTCATTTGTTTGTTGATGATTGCTCTTGAGAGTGAGTGAGTTAATTGAGAAATATATACAATTATTCTCGAGTGTCATATTGTGTTAGAACAGTGATACAGCATTTCGAGGCGTGACTGAACAGAAGCGGGGTGAGCTGGAGACCAAGCTCTCTTGAGTCTGCTTTTGGCGCTCTATCAATTTCACTATTCCACCCTCAATCCTTGCATGACCAGCCGATGACTCTAATATCGGGAAATCATAATCGATTGAGTGGTCAGTACTCTAGAGTGCAGATGGATGGCTTCCAGGTAGAGTCAGATTGGAACTATAGCATCAATAGTATCGGCTTTCGTTGCCATGGCGACAGGGGTTCCAGGACCACCTTGATGTCCCGCCCGATGACTATCCCAGTCCATACATACATTGTCCATCGCACAGGTACCAAGTGGGAGCACCTAAAGGGATGCAGTAATGCAATTACTACAAAGCCAGTCGTTAGGCTTTCGCTTTATAGCCACCGGGGCCGTTCTCTCCCTAATCATAACCACATTCCTTATCTTCGGCACACGATACTCCAATGACGTCGCCAAGTATGCTCTGAAGACCTCCCTCAAGTCAGCCCCGCAGGCATGCTTGCATACCTCGTCGTCGTTTGAAAAAAGTAATGCTACGACGTGGGAGTTTATGGTCGAGCGCGATGGCGACAATCACGGACTTTCAGATGAGCAATGTCGCCTCGCGTTTCCGAAGCTGTTCTTCGAGCTGGACAAATCTGCATCGCTGAAAGAAAGTCATCGCATTACGTTCAAGGAATTGGATAGTCTGCAGGTGGAGGATGGAATGGTGCGGGGCATCATTCATCATGGTGAGGTATGTGTGTGTGTTGGAACCTAATTCATCTACGATGGTCCGATGTGTCTGTCTTCTAACAACGACTTGATGCAATATAGCTATATGTAGTAGATTTCGGCGCAATGCCCGCGACATTCACACGCGGGAAAGCAACATTACACGCGCTTCATCGTGCGCTTGCCTCGTTTCCGGACCGAGGCAGTCTACCAGATGTTGAATTCGTCCTGACGACGGAGGATTATAGCACTCATGAGGGGCCAGTCTGGTCTTATTCCAAACGGGACGAGCAGGAGAATGTTTGGTTAATGCCCGACTTTGGATACTGGTCGTGGCCGGAGGTCAAGATCGGTCCCTACAAGGATATTCGCCGCCGCATTGCTGCCGTCGACGATGGCGAAGTAACCCTGGATGGGAAGTTTATTCCAGGCTTACCATTCCAGGATAAGAAGAAGCAGCTCGCCTGGAGAGGAAGCGTGGCTACGAACCCAGAGATCCGGGGAAAGCTGTTGAAGGCAGCGCAGGGCAGGAGCTGGGCAAGCATCCGGGTGATTGATTGGGACGATGAGAATGATGTCCAGTTCAATCTCCTCCCGATGGAGGATTACTGCCAGTATATGTTCCTGGCACATGCAGAAGGACGGAGCTTTTCAGGCCGCGGAAAGTATCTTCTGAACTGTCGCTCTGTGGTGGTCTCGCATAAGCTGGTCTGGCGCGAGGCACATCATGCTGCCCTCATTGCGTCCGGACCGGAGGCGAATTACGTCGAGGTCGAGCGTGACTTTTCAGATCTTGATCGTAAGATGGAGTTTCTCATTGATCATCCGGAGACTGCGCAACGCATTGCGGAGAATTCGGTGAAGACGTTTCGAGACCGGTATTTGACACCTGCTGCGGAGTCGTGCTACTGGAGGCAATTGATTCGACAGTATGCTGCATCGTGCGAGTTTGAGCCCGTTTTGTATACGCAGGAGAATGGCAGGAGAGAGCCTCGTGGTGTTCCTTTTGAGAATTGGGTCCTTACAGGTTTCTAAATGTCGGTTCTATGTGCATGTTATGGCGTTGGTAGGTGTAATTATTGTGATTTTTAGCGTTCACGAATTATATGAGTAAATATATGAATGGTTAGTCATGATAAGAATGGAAACTTGTGTCAAAAGTGCTATCATTATACAAGGAGCTGGATTACTGTGGGCGAATCTGCAAATAATCCCTCTGGAGCTGAAAAGGGACTAGGCGCAGCTGACCATCACAACCCCATTCTTCTGCCTTCTTCACCATCTTCACCTCATCCTATGGCATCATTCCGCATGTCGACCCAACAAAGCCCTCAATGGAATCCATCTGCCCGACTCTTTTCCTGCATAAAAAATCAAAATCACGGCAACTCCGGTACGAGGAGGAATCTCAAGCACAACTGGCGTCTTCGTATCCGAGACTACCCGCAGAATCTCACCTCTCACTGGCACCTCCAATATCTGGAGTAAATTACACACTACCCGATGTCGATCTCTTGAAGTCATCGTACATGAAGAAAGACCCTTACTAGCACTAATCGGGCTACCCCACGCTTCCATGAAGAGTTAGTGAGGGATATAGTTTCCTACCATCACGCCCCTCCCGGGATCTGAGACGGCCACGAGAATCTGCCCAAGAGCCGTTTCGTGATAAAATTCCTTCAATCGGGTAATACGTGCGGGGTAAGTCGAGGAGAGATTTCTAGGATTCGGTAAAAAGGTAGGATAGGATCTCACGAGGCCCACTTGTTCACCTGATGGGAACACGAGGTAGCCCTGCAGATCTCCCTGTACATCGGGTCTCAAGGGCCCAAGAGGCTCAAGCCTGGGACCAATCAGTGGATTGCCGACCGTCGACTGTTCACCGACTAAGTTGATTTCCTTGTACATCATGGAAATCATGGAAAGAAACTATTGCCCTAAATGAGGCAGATCATTGATAATCTCGTGGAGCATTGTTAGGGTGCCTTTTGCGGGAATAAGCGGTCGAAGGTAACAACTTTCCCCAGGCAAGGGATGAGGCGCAGCGCGGTTGCCATCGTATCTGTGATGTCTGGAAAGCCCAGTACAAAGCAGTACAAGGCATCGCTAAGCTCTTGGCCTGATGAGGTTCCTACACGTTGCATGTGAAGGATGAAAGTTGGGGTGCTACGTTGAGACCTGCCCGGCCGTTAAGGTTGGGACTTGAAAGAGCACCCGATGTATGCCCTTCCGGCTAAGAAACCTACCCAGGCTTGGCGGACGACCAACAAAGGGCACCAGATAACTCATACGGCAGTCAGTTCTCCTGCCATGTGTCTGGTGTCTTCTGGGCAAGTCCACTCGATGGGTTACTCGGCATGAGGTAGGTGAGCGAACGGGAGAAAAGATGGGTCATGCATCACGAAACAACTCCCATGTGCCATGTATTTGAGAGTAAGTTGGAGAAAGGAGATGAGAAATGGTGTGAGAATACACCAATGGACCGGTTGACATGAAGACAGGAATTGCACCTGCCCTAAACGCCGCCGGATATGGATTTTGGCCTTGAGTAATCGGCCATGAAAGAGATCTTGTACAAGGTTTGGGATGCCGTGTCCCAAAATTTCGATCTATGGGAATAACTTCGGGAGCGGCTGAAGCCAATAGCTGACTCCACATCCCTCCCAGGAACAGGAAGATTGAGTCATGGTGATGAGGGGCCGCAGCCATGCATCATGCTGTAAGACCAGGCCAGGGAGAATTATGCAGTCGGTTTAGAACATCCACGGGCAATTGTGTCAGCCTGCTTGAGGCACAACAGTCTACTCCAAGATCGGTGGCATGATCATACTCTCACCCCTTGATGATCAGTGCTGCCCTTGCGTCTCCGCCTCATCCGACTCTTCGACCAATGTTCCTGGAAGAATCGACTAGGTTAATCACGGTTTATCTGAGCATAATTACCCCATGAAGTGGGTCCACCCCCAGATGATCAAATCAAGACTAACGACGCTAGTAGAATATCCAACGGCCCAATAGTTGCTGCTGTACCGAGGCAACTGGCCAAGCTACTACTGTTTCCGTCACATCCAATGCCAACCGATATATCGCATTCGCCCGGTTGGGTGAACATGTCACTATGGACTGCCTGTCAAAGCGAGTCATCTCTCGAATTCTAAATGCTCTGTCCTAGTGACCGGGGGCAAGTTCAATGGCATCTATTGGCTGGTGAATCAGAGGCAGCCTTGCGGCACTTGCATTTAGATGAGAGCATCCACTTGCCACATCAGTCCTGACGCCAAGTCAATACAATATTGTCCGCTAGTCTACCTGGAAGATCCACTAAATTCCGAATATGCATATAGACGCACTTCGAGTCCATGCTAGCACCTGCCCTAGGCCAAGTTCAGCTGGGCGATGTATCCATCCCGTCCCCCCAGACCAGCAGACCAGATTTCACCCGCAACGCTGGGCATCAAATGATCGATGCTTTTGTACAAAATGGGGAATAGCACCTCATCGATCATTGAAAGCGGTCATCAGCACGGGTGGGCCCTGCTTACTGCCCTGCTCTCGACACTCAGATATAAAGCAACGGCGAAGCATCCCAGTATATAGTAACATTGCATATACATTTCTTCCATCGCACCTGAATATAACAGAAGCAACACCCCCAGCCGGGTCTGCAGACTCCTTACAGCAACACTACTACTACATATCCATTCCTCAATACCTACCTTCCCAAACAAAGACACCATGCTGTGGACCCATCATCTCCCAGCCCTCTGGGCCCTAACCCTCACCCTACTCACATGCGTACTATCCTCCCCCATCGCCCTCCGCACCACCGGACCCTGGCTAGCCCTAGACACGGACTTCCCAGACCCAGGCTTCGTCCAAGCCGACGACGGCACCTGGTACGCCTTCGGCACAAACGGCAACAACCGCACGGTACAAGTAGCCAAGTCGACAGACTTCAAAACATGGACCCTACTGGACAAAGAAGCCCTTCCCACACTAGCAGGCTGGGAGACGCAAATCGACCACTGGGCCCCAGACGTAGTCCGCCGCGTAACCACCCCCCATCCCCTCTCCATCCCCCCCAAAACACTAACAAAACCACACACAGAACGACGGCAAATACATCCTCTACTACAGCGGCGAAGCCCAATCCGATCTCCGCCACCACTGCATCGGCACCGCCGTCTCCACCACCACGGACCCCAGCGGCCCCTACATCCCCAACCCCACCCCTCTCTCCTGCCGTCTCGACCAAGGCGGGAGCATCGACGCATCAGGCTTCCTCGACAAAGACGGCACGCGGTACGTGGTATTCAAAGTCGACGGCAACAGCATTGGCAACGGCGGGGACTGCAACAACGGGATTGCGCCCTTGAAACCCACGCCCATCCTGTTACAAAAAGTTGATACCGATGGGTTTACACCCGTGGGCGACGCAGTGCAGATCCTGGACCGCGATGATAGTGATGGGCCGTTAGTCGAAGCGCCCAATTTGATTCTCCATGGGGATACGTACTTTTTGTTTTACTCGACGCATTGCTATACGGATGAGAAGTATGATGTGCGGTGGGCGACGGCGTCGGAGATTACGGGCCCGTATACGAAGACGGGCAAGCAGTTGGTTAAATCGGGCGATTATGGGTTGGTTTCGCCCGGGGGTGGCACGGTTTGTGGGTGTGGGGATCGTATGCTGTTTCATGGGTTTTGTGCCGAGGGGGATAGTAGGAGGTGTATGTATGCGGCGGAGGTGAGGATTCAGGGGGTGGAGGTTGGGTTTGTTTAGTAGTGAACTTTTAGTGAACTAAGGGTTAGGGGTTGGTGTTTGGAGTTTTGGGAAGGGGGGTTCTGCTATATATCATATACTTACATATACCACGTTCGCTTTTGGGTTTGTTTATATCGCGGACTTTATATGGTTCGGATGAATAGTATCTTCTGTTGTGTGAAGAATACTAGAATTTTGCATGTCACTCATATTAGTATGGGGCTTTCATTGAGAGTAGGGTATCTCTACTATCTATAATCATCATCATCATAACTCTCGAACCTGGACAAAGCTACAAAAAGAACACAAGAAATCTATACCTTCCCCTCCTTAGCCTTCTCCTTCCTCTCCTTCCTTGTCTTCTCTGTCCGCTCCAACCACCCCCCAATCCCAGCTATCGCAGCCTCCGGATCATCCTTATAATTCAACAGGTACCCCTGCACCTCTGCAGCGGTGAACTCCCCAGCCGGAATACCAGCCGCGAAATCCTTCGCCAACTTGACAATCATATCCGAAACAGGGGGCCGTTCTTCCATTCCATCAGCAATGGTCGTCTTCTTAACACCATTGGCTTTGCCGTCGTGGCTGGTAATAGCGTTCTTCCTCCTGTTCGGAGAAATAGAGCGCAAATCACCCTCAAGCGTGGAATAAATGGATGAGAACAATTCCCTGATGTCTTGGGAGTGAGCGTACCCAAAAGTGATGGTCATGTCCACGCGGCCGGGACGGAGGAGCGCGGCATCGAGCTTCTCCGGATGGTTCGTAGTCATGATGAGGATGCGGCCTTCGCTTGCTGCGACGCCATCGATAACGTTCAGTAGGCCGGAGAGGGTAATCCCCTTGTTATCAGGGGTCTCCTCGGAGGGCTTCTTGTCTGTGGACGAGCCAGCGGGAGTGTTGGCAGCAGTGTTGGGCGCAGCGGCAGGGTTGGCATTGGCGTTGTTGGGGTCGTTCTTGTTCTTGTCGTCTTGGGTGCTGTTGGCCGCGCGCTTGGAGGTCATGCCGGCGCAGTCGATGTCTTCCAGGAGGACGATGCAGCGGCGAGGGAGGTCTTGGAATAGAGACATCAAGTCGTCTTCGTCCAAGCTCTTGGAGCTCAGGTTCAGCAGGTATAGAGGGAGGCCGAGAAGTCCTGATGCTGCAAAGCAGAGACTGGTCTTTCCTGTTCCGGGAGGGCCGTGGAGGAGGTACCCCCGTCGGTAGGGGATGCCTCTGTTGGAGTACCATCTCCTCGTGCGGGGGTGGAGGTATTCCTTGATGTCTTTGATGAAAGACTGCTTCTGGTTCTGGTCTAGCACGACGGTGGAGAGAGGCCTGGGGTGGCGTGCCATGCAGCGTACCCAGTCAGTGTATCCGCCATTCTTCTGGCCGCGGTAGATAACTGTGCTGTTTCCGTCTCTGGCTACCCATGCCCTCTGAGCTTCCGCGAGAAGTTCCTTCAGGATAGTGGGGTCACGACCGAAACATGAGATGAACAGTCGCTCAGGCACGTATCGCATGTAGGAGATGGTGTTGTTGTTTTCCTCTTTAGCACGAGTGAAGGTAAGAAGACGACCACGGAACCAGAAGTAATGGCTTCCTTCGGCTGGGGTAAAGCGGAGGCGCTTGAACTTGTCTCGTGCAACAGTCTTGGCCCAGTAGTCGTCAAAGTCGGAGACGACATTGCCGTTCTCGTCGTATTCATCTTCGTCATCCAGGTCACCCTCGTCGTCGGAGTCGTAGTATCGTGCGCCGCTGGAGATCTTGGTGCTAGCTACGAACTGAGTGGACTTTTTCGTAGAAGGGTGTTGTGCCATCCAGAACATCAGGTAGTTGTACACTTCATCCTCGAGGCGGATCTCAGCAGTTGAGACACAATACTCGGTTAATAGCTCATGTGAGCGGGAGAACACATATCGCAGCGAAGCAACAAAGGCGACAGCCGTCAAAATCATGGGAATATATTGAGAGAGGTCGATGTGTAAATATGATATTAGGAACCGGGATATGAAGGAGTACCCCGGAATGAACATGTCCAGCATCGCGCTGTCGGAAGGATTCATATACTGTGAGGAAGATGTTGCGTTCATGACTGGTGTGTTGTTGATGGTGTTGCTGAGAAAAGCGCTTGAAGCCATGATGAGGGTTTCGTAACTGTAGGGTACTGATATATAGAAATCCAGCAATGCTAACAATGCCGGGGGCGCGGAGTTGACCTTGGAATTAATAAGTGATCTTTAGCGGCAAATAACAACAATATGCAATTATCCGGCAGCTCTATAAGAGAAAAATGGAAATTAACGCTGAAGGAAAGGTGTAATCAATTGGCATGGAAGGCTCCTGTTGTCGAGAACGAACTCTTCTTTTATACTTCTATCCCAGCCATGTCGCGCCAGGCAGGAAGGCTGACAAGCCGTGGCATCGTGGGGTTGGTAGGCATCCATCTGCGCCGAGCGGTAGGAGCAGGATCTAGAGCGAGCCTCTGACCCATCGTGTAGGCCAATGTGTAACTGACGAACGGCGCCCAACGAAGGAAGTGACTGGCGCAGTGGAATGCGCAGCTGACGGGGAGCCACTTGAGTCATAGTCCGAAGCAGGCGGGCGCCAATCCCGGCAACTCAGCCGGCGATCCTGTGGATTCTTCCTTTTCAGCCGCATCCCCATCTTCCTCGAGGCATCTCCCTGCGAACCAATAATGCCTTTCTTGTATTCAATCCTAGTCTGTAAAAATCCAAATGTGGGTATCTTGATTATGACGTATTAATGGGCCCATTATGGCCCCCCGTCCTTTGAAAAAGCCGCGCCTCGCAAAAACAACCAACAGTAAGACCACCAGAAAACCAACAAGCAAAGAAAACAATGTCACAGCCACTCGTTCTATGTCTATAATCATGATCCGGTGAAATTGTCTTTCACGGTGTCGAATATGTCGGTCGCCCACTCCTTCGCTTCCTGGAGTTTGTCCCAAAGGGTCCCCCACCAGGTAGGACCCTTCTCATCCTCGCTTTCCGGGTCAGGCTCGGGCTGAGCTTCAGGCGCCGTTTCCGTCGGGGACGCAGAAGAGGAAATCTCTGCCGACGGCATCATCGTTGGCGTCATAGTGGCGGTCGTGCTAGTAACTGGAGGATCTGGAACACTGGCCAGCGTGGGTGTGTCTTCGTCAGAGTGAAGGCCTATCGTCTTGAGAGGCAGACGCATGGTCCCATTGTTCGGGTGGGCGGTGATGCCGAGTGAGTCGCAAATAATGTTGTACACATTGATGTTTTCTACCTTGGTTAGCTAAAATCCAACTCCGCCCGACAAAGGGTCGGGGATGACTCACGAAATGCTTCCAAGCGACTGTTTGGTTCATGGGGGAATGCGGGTCCCCTGGCGATAAAAATTGCCCGCATCAAGGGGTGCTCGTGGTCATATCCATGAATGCCTCTGGGGTGATAGACCTCTCCATTCTCCAGGGCCTTCTGGGCATCAAAGTCGGCACGCTCGACGACTGCCCACCCTGTCTTTGGAATTACCCACAGAGGGGCGATGCGATCATTGTTTTGGAAGTGATAGCGTTCAGGCATGCCCTCACGTGTGTAGATCTCGACCGCATGCGAATAGTTCGCGGCCACGCTCTCCAGCTGATCCTGGAGGATTTGGAGATCCTCTGGCCGTTTGGGACGCAGCCCGCGTAACGGCCAGCCGTCGATGCGCTGGACTAGATCAATATCGACCAGGTCCTCCAACTGAACCAATCGCTCGGTCGCGGTTGTCGCCATGCCATGGTCGGAGACAATCACGATGTTCACGACATCCGTTAAATTGCGTGCTTCGATACCGGAGAATAGACTGCCAAGCATGTCGTCCACCTTAGCGATTGTGTTGCGAGTTTCAGTGCTGTTGGGGCCATAGTTATGTCCATCTGCATCAACATTCGGGACATAGGCAGCGATAAACTGAGGCCTTTGGGGCGCAATGTCTGACTCCGCTTCTACTCCCGGCATATCCAACAGTCCCAAGATGCGTTCCACTTTCGAGGAAAGCTTTTCGGACCCGTTGTATTCGTCTAGGTAGGTTGGATCTACGCCTCCGATATGTGCCTCGGAGCCCGGCCACATATGAACAGCGGTCCTCACGCCCTGATTCTCGGCCGTCATCCAGAGGGGCTCCGCGTTCCACCATTTTGGCTGCATGCTGACGGACGGGTGGGTATAGTAAAACTCTTCCTGCAGCTCCGGGTCCCAGAAGGTATTTCCAACGATTCCGTGGCTCTCGGGATATAGTCCCGTAACAAGTGTAAAGTGATTCGGGAAGGTCACGCTCGGGAAACTGGGTAGCATGTACTGCGGCGAGACGCCATTTGCAATGAATGAGCGAAGGGTTGGGGTCAAGCCACGAGTGAGAAAGTCCGCTCGGAAACCATCTAAAGAGATCAAGATCGTCGTGGGGGCGAACAACGCAGTGCCATTAGATAGAAGTTGCCTCGAGGAATGAGGGGCTCGATACTTTATAGATGCTTTATATGCGCCCAGTAGGAAGATGAGGAGAAGGATAAAGATAGCGGAGAATACGAGGGCGAGTCTGCGCCATGGAACGCGCCGTGGCTGGTTACCATAAATCAGTACCGGAGCTCCCGCAAAACCCATGAGAGGTTATTGTGTGACATCCATACCTGCATAAAAGCATATTCCTTGACCCGTGTGTCGAAGTCGGACGAAGAAGGGCTCAGGAGAGAGTGCTCATCGTCCCGGTGACCCTCTTCCATCTCGAACATTATCTCTCCGGATCCACGCGCCTTCTTACGACGCTCTTTGCGGGCCTCTCTTCGGGCCTGTTGGCGTTGTCTCCTGCGTTCCTGCTTTCCGATTCGAACACTACTACTGCTGGGGCTGAAGATGCGGCGAAGGCCATGAGTTGGACCGGTTCGGGTGAGCAGTTTCTCTGTTTCTTCTTCCTCTTCCAGTACTGTGCGATCGTGCTCGGCAAGCTCTAATGTAGTGCGTGATCTCCGAAGAAACTCGTCGTCCTCCGAGTCAGAGTCCTGCTCTGACGGGGAACGTAGCGACTCGGCATCTTCGTCATAGTCGCCAGGAGACAGCAGGGCGGAGGTGGGAATGTTGCGTCGGAGAGGCATGAGTGACGGGTGGTGGCATGAGGCCGGAGTGCAGATGCACGGAGGAGGGACCGACCGACCTTAGAGCCGGTATGGCGACACGTATGAAGTGTTGGTAAGGGAAATAGTAAGGGTCTTGGGGAATGATAAAGGATGGCGGAATCATGGATTAATTGACCTCGAGGGGGCGGCGATCGGCGGATCTCCGGGCCGGTGCCGACTGAGAACCACTGGTCCAGTTCATGTCTGTCCTTCCCCCACACCATGGATATGCTCGAGTTTGTATAACTATCAAGACTTACCTCTTGAGTTGACGGAGGATTTTGTCCATGTATGAAGCTTGATCTATATTATATCTTGACCACCTCCTATTCATCTGGTTTGAGGGATGTCTACATGTCGTCTATTCCTCGCCGCTCTGCCAAAGGGGTCCTGTTGATAGTAATCAGTGGCCTCCATACTTGAAGCTTCACCAAGAAGTCATCCTTCACGACATTGGCATCTGACTTGAAAACAACTGACTAATCTGAGTGCTAAAGCCATCATGTCTGGATTATGCCTTCGCTCCCCTGATGGGATGACAGCTTGCACATGAGAACCAGACAAAGAACAGAACTACAAAGGAGCTATCGAGCATTCAAAGAGACAGACAAACAATGAAAGGCTAGCTAACACAGGCAGAAGCCTTGAACGAGAACCCTGTTGTTGAAGAGTCTTTAGTGCATGTCTGTCGCTAAGTCCCAGCATTGGTAGTACTGAAAGCTGCAGTCGCAACGATGTCCCCAACAATCGACAACTTGCGCTTTGAATGACTAACATGACTAACGAAAGACGACCAAGTCACAAGTTGAGATACACCAAGAAGCAGCTAGATTGAGCTACTAATCGATCGACATTTAGGTGTGAAACCTCCAGTGGCACATTGCTTGCGAAACATGCCACAGTCGAGACTGCAACGTGGTGAGGTTGACGTAGCAGCATCCTGGGGATGCTTCCGTCTATTGAGAGGTTACTGCATCCTCATTGCGCTTCCTAAATGCGTTCAAAGATACTGTTCTCTTCGCAGGGCTACAGATCGTCGAGGAATGGATCAACATTCCTCAGGTGGCTGATTCCGGCCACTCGACTTCCCTTTTAGGAAGCCCTGGGGTGGCAGTTTCAAGTCACATGACACTGGGAAGAGCCCCAGTTGGATCTGCTACCAGCAGAAGTAGTTTATCTAGATCCGGGTGGCTGTCAATGCTTTGGGTTGCAGCTGTGCTATTTTGAGATCCAATCTGTTCGATCTAGTCCGGAAGCAGTGCCTGGCTTCCCACGTTCGTTCCCACACTACGGCATCCGGATCCCTAAACCTCTTGCGATTCGTGGATAATACCATGAAGAAGCACTTGTGCCGGAGTTTAAACCGACTGTCAAGCAAAGATGGTGGTACCGGAACGGTACATCAAGGAAAGCTATAAAGAACCTCAAGATCCAGCTCGATCCGTCTGCGTTGTCATGCTTCATTCTCTACCTTCCAATCCTTCTTCTTGACGCTCAGTTTTGCTGCTTGTACCGCGATAGATCTCTTTCTTCTTCTTCCTCTCCCAAGTCTCTTCCATTCACAATGCGTTACTCAACCCACGTTGTGACCGCTCTGGCCTTCGCTGCCGGCACTGTCCACGCAGCCCAGTCCGCTAGTGACGACGGCAAAGTGACAACAGTGACCGCCCAAAGTACCGTCGAAGCCACCGCTGTCGTCACCGCGGAGCCCAGCAGTGCTGCAACTGAATCCGCCGTTCAGCACCCCCCTCCCATTGCCGCATCCAGTGCCCCAGCTTCTGCCTCCTCCGAGACAAGCGTCCCAGTCATCAAGTCCAGCGCTACTGAGTCTCAGCCCGCTGTCACTGAATCCAGCGCTCCAGTAGCCACCAACACCGAGCCCGCCGCTGTTGGATCCAGCGCCCCGGCTACCCAGGCGATTGGCACCGCTGCTCAAACGAGCGTCCCGCTCATCAAGACCTCCGGAGGGGAGACACAGGCCGCTCAAACGAGCGCTCCAGCTGCTGCCAGCGTCCCACCAGTACCGATCGAATCGAACCCCGCTGTGACCAGTGCTCCTCCTGCCAGCATCCCCCCGGCCGCTAGCGGCAACGCCAGCACCACTTCATCGCAGCGGTTCTCCAACTCGACTACCTCTTCAGGGTCCTTCTCTACCGGCACCTCTGGAGGCGGTGGCGGTGGCGGCGGCGCTGCTACTGTTCCTGCTGCACCCACCTCCACGGGATTCATCTCGTCCAGCTCCGGTGCCAAGATGGTCCTTCCCGGCCTTGCTCTTGTCGGAAGCATCGCCATGGGCTTGCTTGTCTTGGCTTAGATCAGCGCTACTTTGCCTTGAGCCAAATATTGTCTCTTTCTTCTGAGATTATTCCTTCGATATCATGCATCACTAGACTGCTTGATGACAAAACGACTGCCCCTGAAACCAATACAGAAAAAATAATGCAATACAGCGAAGTGGGGCAGACCTTTTTCTTTCACACCCAGAAACTTTCAAGAAAAACACTAATACTATTGACGAGAAGTGGATCGCTTCGCTCACTTATGATACATCTATTTCTGGCTTGCTTGTTAATTCCCGGTGTTTTGTCCTTCACAATACAAATAATATATACTATGCTCTTGTTGAATTCCGATATTGTACTCTGGATGAGAATACCAGATGGTCAATCTGTTGGATTTATATTATAGAGGTATATACGGCGTTTTATCATGTTTTCATTTCTTACTTCGGTTTCTGGAGTACTCAGGTTTCATGGATTGTGTATTAGACTTTGGTGAAATTCATTCAATCATGATCCAATAGGAACATGCATTCAGCTAGATCGTAATTCTCAAGAGAATAAACATGGAAACAAGAGAAAGAAACTTTTTCATCTATTTTATTCATATCTCAGCATCTATATTAACTATACTGCATCTGCACGTGATTTTCAATCATCATCTTCGAGTCATTACTCCCCATAACCAATACAACCATACGTTATATGCAATCATCATTCAGAAAACAATCAAAAGTCAACAAATCATTTCACCTTTTCCCTTCCATCCTACGAACTCGATACCCAATTCGCCCACTTACAAGAACACCCCCCACTCCCACCATCAACACCCCCATAATCCCCCGTGGCATCCGTCGACGCATTCCCATAGAGGTCAAAGATCCCCGGGGCCGGATTCACCAGCGTGCCACCGTACGATCGATCCTCGAGCTGCAACTTGACTTCCGTCGAGTTGATTTGCTCGCCGCTCTCCATGCCATAACAATAGACCATTTTCTTCATAGCGTCCCCGCCATGGCGGTCTAGAGTTATGGTGATGGGGTAAGGGAAGGATCCGGGGCGGGTCCAGTCATTGGCGGAGGAAGGCGTGGTCGTTGCTGTAGCACTTGCGGTTACTGTGGATGCTGTTGCTGTGGACGTGGAGGTTGTGTTCTGCAGGAGGGTGTCGTTGGAGCGGGTCCAGATTTGGACGAGGAAGCGGGTCTGTGACCATGTGCAGCGGACGCGGGCGTCGGATTCGTTGGATCCGCCGTTTTGGTCATTGGCGTTTGTGTCGGTTGTATTGCCGTCGATGGGGGCGAGGGAGGAGAGGAAGATGGAGCGGTCGAAGTAGGTGTAGAAGCCGTAGTGTTCTGTGCTGAGGCCGCGGTTGTAGAGACGGACGGGTTGGGAAGAGGGTAATGGGTATAGGTCTGCGGCGGTGGCGGTTCCGTCGGAGTCTTCGTCTGGGGATGGAATTATTGTTGCGAGATTGGGGAAGGAGCTGTCGGAGGATCTTCGCGCCAGGCGAAGGGTGGATGTTGATGTTAGGGTGCTGGCTGAGAGGAAGGTCATGTGGAAGGGGGTTTCTTCGCCGGCGTAGGGCACGGTGTTGTTGTCTGTTGTGTTGCCGAGGAAGGTCTGGTCTTTCATGCTTGGTGGGGATGGGGATGGGCTGTAGGGGTTGTCGGAGCTCCGTGAGGAGAGGGTCTTGCTGGATCTTGTGGCAATCGTGGTGCTGTTAGGGTAGGTACCGTTGCGGAATCGGATTTCCACACGGAAGTTCGGCTCGTTGGCGGCGTAGGGCTCGTTGGCAGATTGTTCCTCTGGTGGTAGAGCACAGCTCCAGAGCGTGGATGGAGTTATGCATCCTGATTGCTGGACCTGAGGCTTTGGTCCGGCAATCGTTGCGATACCGGTGGGCATCGGTGGATAGCCGGTGAGATTGAGCCACTGTGATTCCACTGGAGTTGAGTCGCCTTTCCCTGTCAAGGTCATGACTAGGAGGAGGATGATCGCTATGATGATGAGGAAGGATGTGAGGATAGCCAGGTACCACCGACGTTTGACCTTCTTCTCCTTCTTGTCTTTGCTACCGAAACAGCCGTTCTTGTGAGACCGATCACCACCGCAACAGCAACAGCAGAACAACAAGCCAAACTTCTTTTTCTTTTTCTTCTTGTCTTCTGTCTCTAACGTTTTCCGTCGTATCTCGATTATCTCTCTCTCTGTGGTGGTATGTGCCACTTCCTCTCGTGAGAGTGGATGAGGCTCCATGCGATGTATAGAGGAGCTAGTGTAGTGAGAAGTATATGTAGGCACTGGTGTAGATGAGCTGTTGTAATTGGACGTGTATGCAGGCGCCAGAGTGGTATGCATGTCGGATAACGGGATTGATCCAGCCCTCTCGGTGGCTTGCTGAAGGCCAGGAGACGTAGGGTTCGGCGGCTGCGGCTCAGCCTGCTGTTCCTGAGGGAATGCTGGATGCTGGTGTCCATTGGGTGCTATGAGAATTGGCGATGGGACAGTAGCGGGATGGACATGGATAGTCTGAGCTGGAGGCGCTGGTAGTGCAACCGGTTGGGGAGCTTGCACTATTATGGGCTGAATGGCTGGCTGGGGTGCTGGCTGAGGAGCTGGTTGGACCACTGGTTGGATGATTGGCTGAAAGATTGGCCAAGATGTTTTCCTTTCATATTGACTGTCTGGAGGCGGGGCCAATTCTCCTGTTTCTCCTCCGGCATGCGGCGTTGGAAATGTTTCTTGAGGCATCCCCCGTGACACTTCATCAGAAATAGGCTGATTTGGAGTGTTGCCAGGAGGTCCTCCAGCCGAAGGGTGTTCACTTGGAGGATTTTCGCTGGGAGGATGCTCACTGGGAGGGTGCTGACTAGGAGGATGCTCAATTGGGGGATGCTCGCTCGGAGGATACTCGCTCAGAGGACGCAGGGTTGGAGGAGGTTGGATTGTTGGATGCTCAGACAGAGGTATCCCCCTTGAGCTGGCTTTCCCAATTGGATCATTGTCCTGGAGATTGTCAAGGGCGGCCTCTACTCCCTTATCCATAACACTCGGTTCATACACAGTGCGTGCCTCTGAGGTGGTGGGAACAGCTGTCGAGCCAGTACCTTTATCTTGTGGCATGTCTCCCACGTCGATCAGGAGATCCCTACTGTCTGTGGAGCTCACAGCTGTACCCTCAGTATAGCCGGGGATCTTGTCTTTGGGTGTTATAGAGCAGACGTGGTTGACGCATTCGAAGTACGGCCGTCCGCTGAACAATTCGTGGGCACAAGCTTGGTAGTATTCAGCTGCAGAGCCCTGGATTGGCCTTCCCGGGAACATGAATGATGTCGCATCTCTCGCTCGTTCGACAGGTTGGTTTTGATCACTCAGTCTTTTCTCGTCAAAGGGATTCAGACCAGCGTCTGGCCAATCGGGTGTCAATTCCTTATGGTGAGGTATTATGGCTTCTGGCGTGTCGGGCGAAAAGCTGGATACTTCCTTTTCCCACCACTCATCACTCGATGCCCTTGACTCCGTTGCGATACTGGGAACTGGTGGTCTAGCAGTCTCAGTTGGGGTGGTGGGACCCATGGCTGTGCTGTAGCGACTCAACAAAGGTGAAAGCAAGTAGGTCCACCAACCCTGGGATTGATGCCTGTTTGTTTCAGTGTTGATGCTTAATCTATCCGGAATCTTTCTGGTATTCCCGCTAGAAAATGACCGAGACCGGCTCTCCCGTCGCACATCATCTTCTTCAAACAGAGTGCCAGTTGAGAGCGAGCGCTGTCTCCCTGTTGCAAATACAGATTGCCTTCGTGTCGATTCAGTGTTCATGTTCATGCTCGGATTCTCATTCTGCTCCAAGAAGGCAAGATTCGGGATAGCAGGCACAGGCGGAATGTTAATATCACTGTCATTGTCATCGGGGTACGGCGTTGGTTGAGAGTAAATGCTAGACGCTATCCTAGGACGAGGATGGGTCGTGTCAAGGCTCGTCCAGAATGTGTCTTCCTTGGCCGGAGTCACAATTATAGACGGGGTCAGTGCCGCTCGTTGGGCATGTCCAGTGTTTACTGTTAGCCCTCTTCCTTGAGTGCTTAGCGATTCATCAGATGGCATGCTTAGTCCAATCATAATCGGCCGATCGGATGGCGACAGATCGTCATTTCCCTTCTTTTTTCGCCTGATGTTGAAGTAAGACAGTCGTTTGCTGTCGAATACGGACGGTTTCACGGACGATCGGTCATAGTCCTGACCGGGAACTTTCTTCAATATCCCTTTCAAAGTATGTGCGTTCCTTTCCTGTTCTCGCACCTCAGAGAGAGCTTTTAGGTCATTCAAATCCATTAAAGTTGGCACTGATCCATCTTCAGGCGCATTTGACGTAGAATGAGAGAAGTCAGTTACCAAACTCAACCCGACAGGCCGTTCTGAGCTCTTTCCCGTGTAGAGTCCAAGATTGCTTAGGTCCTCTTGGTTCGGATTCGTCTGATAAGAGACCCCCGTCCCATCCACTGCTTCCTGTGACTGCGTGTGCTTGTCATAACTTCCCTCGCGTATAAAAGGATTGTTCCTGCGTGTTGTCTTATTCAGAAAAGCAAAAGGTCGATTTCTTTCCATGTCATGATCCTCTGGAGAGGATGGCACCGGGCTCGGAATCTCCTCTGTGATAGGAGACGACAAAGGGAAAGTCGGAGCTGCAGGAATTCGTAGTCCTGCCGTCGAATCCTGCATCTCGGGGGCCGTATGGCCTGCGAGGCCCAAAATCTGCCTTATACTAGACCAGATCATCAGTTGGCTGGTTTCAGTAACACAGCATTCAGGGGGTTGGAGTAGGCTAAGTTACCGTAGACGGACTGGTGTAGCAGATGAAGGTCGTTTCGGTATAGATCAAGCAAGCCAGCTGCGAGATTGTGAATCCTTTCCTTGTTTAGATCGATAGTCTTTGATCGTGCAAGTGCAAAACAAAGGACGCTTGGGTTGGTATTGTTGTGATCAAAGCATCCAGGTGAGACAATCGCAAACCAGATGAAACAATGACCTTCAGAGC